TATAATATAATATAATATAATATAATATAATATAATATAATATAATATAATATAATATAATATAATATAATATATTTTCTCAACCAGGATTTCAATCTGGGTCTCTTTGTTTGCTAAAACTATTACTGGACTAACATGTCTTACACATATAAAATAAACTACTACGTTGTTAAAATGATTTTATTCCTGTCACTGGTGCCCTCTACAATAAACAGGTGCATGATGCGCCTGCATCCTATTGAGAAGCGTGCTGCTCTGACACAAACATACAGCCATACCAGTCTCAGTGAAAACAAGAATTTAAGCACAGGGATTATAACATGGCTCTGACAATTTGTTAGGGCTCAAAACCCTGGCAAGAAGCAAGAGAAAACAGACAAACATGACACTCTTTCCATGGCTAGCTCACCAGACATCTATCTTCCCATCTTACTCCCATCTCACTTCCCATCTCACCTATTGTCTTGCTCTTCTCTTTACCTATTTTGTGAACACTTACACTCTGCGCACACCTATTAAGAATTCCACTGCTCTCCTCCCTGCTTCATTACAGCAATTACCACAGGAAGTCATTTGTTACCTGGGGCCTAGATGGCACTGGCACATACACGCTCTCTCTCACACACACATATTTCTACAGAGATATTTTCAGCACCTCATTCGCAGCTCATCATTATTAAATGACAAAAAATATTTCTTTAAAGCTCTGTTCTGAATTGTCACACCACTGCAATCTGAGACGTAATGCCAATTAATTAATACCTGAATTTATATGTAAATACACAATCTTTTGGGTAAGATGTGTACATTTCTTCTTCATTGTGCCTTGTTTGCAAAAACAACCCTTTAGACTTCAAATATTCTCATTGTAAGGTCACTCAAATCATTATGAGATTGAAATGAACATAATTTGCCTTAACGATGTGGTGGGCATCACATTTTGTTGAAATTATGCTAATGTTCAAATCGGTCCAAGAGAGAACGGCACATACAACTTCTGAATTATTTAATAATCTGTCAAACCATCCAAAATTTAGGAACGCCAGGATCCAACTCTCTTCTGCAGACATTGCTATTGCATAATTTCCTTCAGTCACACTTGCTAATGAAATTGGCTGGCATCCTAAACATTTACCACAAGCAGCATGCAATTACAGACAGCAGGACACATTTGTATCGGACTCAAGCCCATTTTGTTTCAGGGAATCTGGCTGCTATAATGCAGATATTATGGCGCACACACACAAACAGACACACACACACCTGTTATTTCAGTGGGGTGTGTATGTGTGTTTCTGGCATGGTTTGTGGCCCCTCACTTGGTGGACGATTAGCAGGGCCGCAAGAGAAGTGTGACTGCCTGTGATAAAAAAAATGACCACTCTGGTTCTACAGGTGTGTCTTCACACACATACACACACAAGCAAGAATACATATGCCTACACACATATCTATGCCTCCCACACTTTATTGAGAGAAACAGCCATAACACAAGCATGACAAATGTAATAGGATATAAGAGATGGGATGACAATAAAAGAGCAAGATCACATATTTTAAAAGCAAAAACACAATATACAGTGGGTACGGAAAGTATTCAGACCCCCTTCAATAAAAAAAATTAACTTAAATGATTTTAGCAAATGGCTGCAATATAACAAAGAGTGAAAAATTGAAGGGGGTCTGAATACTTTCCGTACCCACTGTATGTGCCAAACCAAACATCCTTCATTGTTTGGTGCGCATTTAAAAAATAAAACGTCCTGGGACAATGAAACACAGATATTAATACTGGCTTTAATATCACCACAAAAACTGTGTGGCGGGAGCTTCATGGAATGGGTTTCCATGGCCGAGCAGCTGCATGCAAGCCTCACATCACCAAGTACAATGCCACTCGTCAGATGGAGTGGTGTAAAGCAGGCCTCCACTGGACTCTGGAGCAGTGAAAACGTGTTCTGTGGAGTGATGAATCACACCTCTTTGTTTGGCTGTCTGATGATACATCAAAGTAAACCAAATGTTTATGCTTGCAAGGCATGCAAATACAAATGATGTATATGCATGCAAATGATGGGTTTCCATCAAAGCATTTTAATGCAATTTTCAAATTTCTTTTGAAGAAACCTGAATGTGAATACTTGATAAAGTCTTTCTGAATTTTTGCATAAGTAAAAATGTTCATCAAAGCAATAGAAACAGTGTTTTTGGGGCCATCTTTATTGTTGAGCCCTGATTAGTTACATTTGTAATGTTAAGACACTCTATCTCAGAAAATACCTAGTCATATTTTTGGTTTTCCTCACAGGTTTTAGTAGTTTAGTGGCTTTAGAAAGGCTAATCTGAAAGCAAAACTTTTTTTACAGTCAGAAATTTAACTGTAATG